GATTCAACGAAATAAGAGGACAGCACAGTAATGACAAAGACATAACAAAGTGTTTGGATAAAATAACACTCATTATGGTTATGGGTAAGGTGAAAAAGGTTAAAACAAGCCAACAGAGCAGAGTAATAGTAGATTATGAAAGTGATATTACTTCAGAAAAAAATGGGTAAAATGAGAGAAATAGTTTTAAAGCCTTTGCTTTTATTTTATAAAGGTTAAGTTGGGTGTTTTACTTCCTGGAAGGCACCTGTTGAGGGATCTCAGGTTGGCAATGAATTTCTAAGAGTGATAATGTAAGGGCCAAACAGGCGAGTACATGGCACTCATGTCAGTAACAGTTAACTGCTTGTAGACTGATTGTATTTTGTATGTTTGGTTGTCAGCTGACAATAATGTAACCTGGACACCTAAAAATATGAGGCTCTGTCTGCAACCCATGATTAAATGAGTAGTTAGAACAATCTGAAATGAACTACATGAAAAACCAAAAAGCAAGATTTATAGATCTCAACTTAACTTAAAATGTGATATTATGTCAGTGTTGTGGTCCTCAGCTTGTTTCTGCTGCCCCCAACTGGCCAATAAAAAACTGTTATTGCCAGTTTAAATAACTAATTTGCATGTAGCATGTAGATTTAAAGAAGCGGGAATGTGGTTGAATGCAGATTACATTTCTACAAGTTAAAACTGGGTTGGAAGTTTTTTGAGACACCAAAATGACATAAACATTGCAAACAATGCTTACAACCTAGAAATATAACAACACATTTGACTAACAAATCACAAGTTAAAGATATGTGGGAGGCCATGAAATGGGTACTTACAGGGGCTGTAGTCTAGACATCCAACTTCACATCTAAAATCATACTCAAGTCGAGAAGCTCAAGTGTAAAAGAAGGTAGGAGAGGTACTTACTGCTGTCACATTTTCAAACCGAGAAGCCAGAATTTTTCATAGCAGGGATAGTAGCTGGACTCTCATATCCTTTTCTCAATCACTGAAAAATATATAAGATGTGGAATCATTCATCCAGACACAGTGTCACTGTGAAAATCCTACTTTTAAAAAAATCCCACCTTCTTCAAAAGCATTTGAAAATGTGTATGTGATGAAGAAGTGGAAAAGGTACCAAATTCACCAAGGATATTTTACATTTCAAAGGAAATGGCACACTCCTTACTGTCTAAGTACTTTGTAGTAGTATTGGAGGAGTATTGACGTGTCTGGGCAAATTTTAATGGAAAAACATAGTTGTTGAGTCTGTGGTAGATCAACCAAGGACACCTAGCATCGCTAAAAATGTTGGTTAGTGCAGCTTTATGTACCTTTCTCACAAGCACTTGCAGTGTTTTTTCATGAAAAGTTCACAAAGAAAATACGCTAAAATGCAGCAATTAATACAGAAATCTGCCAGTGTTGCCATGCGGAACTGCCATGTTTCTACAATGGCCCAGAAGGGACAAACCAAACACTGGCACTAGACAGGGGCATTTGTGTTTTTTTTGTTTGTTTGTTTTTGGCCACTGTAGTTTCTCCTTTGTGGTTAGAAAGGGAAGGTGAAGTGAGGCAGTTGCAATCTGCAACTATTACCACTAGATGCCACTAGCAGTGGTCCTTTAAGCTAGTGCACTGGTTCCCGACCACTAGGGGTCACCAAAGCTTCATGGGGGGGTTGCAAAGCTGACAAGAAAACTTTAAAAACAATATATATAGTTGGCCTATATCACAGTATTTCATACATGTCTGTGAAGAAGACTGAATGAGTTGTTATTTTTAAAGTTTAGACTATTGTTTAAGATACAAATGTAAAATAAATCACAATGGAGACCTGAACACAAGATAAACTCCTTCATCCTGCATGAGAAAAGTATGCAGTTAATAGAAGCAAAGCGCCACTGGAACAATGGCCAAGCATCAGGACAAGAAAACACTAAATTTGTCTAGAAATATGCTTATTTAGTATGTAGAAAAAAAACATACTTTAGACATAGAACTGAATAACAAAATTCCCAAAAATATCAGGAAAACTCATCTCTGATGCAATATTTACAGGAAATATCTACATACTATATATGTGTGTACAGTTGTTGTTATGCATTAAATAGAATATGACACTTAGTCAGGGGTCATTATTTTACTCAATAATAGAAAGGGCTTCCTAAATGAAAAAGGTTGGAAAAACAACTGAGCTATTGGGAGGAATTGGGTAAGTTGCCGAGGTAACCAACTTGGGAGCACTGGTGCCTAATTTACCTTCCCTATGCCCAATGGTTTCCCGGTCCTCAAACCAGCAACCTTTCAACCATCTCCACTCAAACTACTTCTACAACAACCGCTGCAGCTGAAGAAGTCATTATTATGTCCACTTCACACCATGAGATGCTGAGCCGCTGACAGGCACTCAACCTGGCACAGATTGCTAAGGAGTGCTTAGACCTTTGTGTTTGTCAGCTGTCAAAAACCTATAGAATGTCTCATCCAGGTCTGAACTAGACAGAGGGAAATAATTATTGTGTGTTCCTTGATACGTCACCCAGCTCTCGAGGAGAAGCTAGCTCGGTCAGTCTCATCGACTCCTATCACCCACACAGCTCCTCCTCCTCATCTCACACTGTAATAGAAATGTGTGTGTGTGTGTGTGTGTGTGTGTGTGTGTGTGTGTGTGTGTGTGTGTGTGTGTGTACGTGCATGTGTTTCATACCTTTTATCCAGCAGGTAGGAAGGCAGGCAGGAAGAGGTAGCATAATACTTTTGTTTACAACACTGGAAAAGTGAAAGTGTGTATTTGTCTCCCTCACACTCTCTTTCTGTGGATGTGTGTTTGTGGATGTGTGTGAGTGTGTGGATGTCAGACTATAGACAAACCAAGCATTTATTCCCCGTAGCAGAAGTGTATCATATCCAGGTGAGTGTGACAGATCGAGGGCTTCACTATAGTGACAGGGGAGCCAAGGCCATCTTGCTTGTATTATTCATGAGAGCCGGGGATGTCTCGTTGGCACGCTCCTTTGGCACAGCACAGAGAGCACAGCAGCAAAATAATGGGATGCTGTAGCTCACTGCTGTGTCATCAGCATCACAGTCTTACAGCAGCACCTAGTGCTCACTGTATGAAAACTAAATAGTTGGAGACCTACAGCCACACAAGCTTTTTTCCTCATTTGAACTATGCAATCCTTCTCAAAGACAAAACTGAAAATAATTGGTGTCCTCTTCTTGTACTCAGTTGTCTCCTTGGTCCTTGTTTGTATTGTAACTCTCACATTGTGAAATCTGTAACACGAAAACATGAATTTTATAGTTAAACTTGAGATGCTGTTACTTGTTTCACCACAGAGGATGGCAACAAGGGATTCACAAATCAGCTACACATTCTACTTAACACAGCTAATGAGCCTCAGCATGTAAGACTACAGTGTCTGTACCTGTAGAGCTTGTAGCTGTAGGTTTATGGCTCTGTCTGTAGTGGTCCAAGCAGCGAAGTTGCTGGAAGCTGAGTGTATCTGGGCCTAAAACTATCTGTGTCTCAGAAACTGTAACAGCTACGGTTCCCAAAACTCACCCACTACTAAAAGAATTTCGACTGATTAGCCAGATGGTGGTGCTATAACAAAAAATACATTTTGGCCTATAACTACTTGAACTGCCTGTCTGTGAAAATTCTTTTTTCCTGGATGTTTTATTCACTAGGTCCAGACTAATATATCTACAAGACAACCCCATTTTCATCTGAAAAAAGATTCTGCTATATTACATTTTGTTTTTGTGCTACTTTTTGCTACAAATATCTGGACCAAATTAAACATTTTTAAACTTGTCCCTTTGATTTTAAAATAAATGCTCCTATCAGAATTGGCTTATGTTATTATCACCAAACTAGGTGCATGTTTGTTTGGGAGCAGTCCTGGGATATTCTGCCACTAGGGATGCCAGAAACGTAAAAACTACATCTCGTAATCGGCTACATGGACTCAATCATGAGAAATTTGGCAATGACTGATTAAAGTTCACGTTCCAAAGTTTAAAAAAATCCAAGTACATTACCCGCATGTCGCACAGTTTGCCTCATGACAGTCTAGTCTTAACTTAGCTGTTTACTCAGTTACTAAACCATTTACCGGGCTGGGGGACCTCCTTAGTCAGGGATTGATCCAAAAAGCTTCAGATTATGAGACGACTCCTTTACTTCCTTAAACCTTCACTCAATTACTCAGTCTACTCAACTATGTCGATTAAGAAACTTTTTAACAAATTAAAAAAAACTACACAAAGGCCCACTGAGAGTTTACTGTAATGTCAGAAATACTTATACTGTATTATTATATACTGGTACAAATTTGAGGTACATGTATTTGAGTATTGTCACCTTATACTTCTACTCCACTATATTTCAGAGAGAAATACTTTTTAGGTGTATTTCTGTTCAGCGTACGAGTTACTATGTTGCTAATCAATTCAGTCATTTATTCATGCAAAAACTTGTCATGGTAATTATTTGTAAAAATATAATAATAATAATATAAGTAAGTTTGAGGTTTAAACTCATGGTTGGACTAATCAAAGCTTTGTTTAAACTATGGCTGATCCATAATAAAAAAAATAAAAATCATCAATTGCAGTCCAAATGAACACAGCAGTAAAATCCTGCTTTTACATTGAAAAAAGTTAGTAATAACAATCTGATGATATATGAGTAACTTTTAATACTTTTTAGTACATTATCCTGATTACACTAATATACTTTTTCTTAGGTTACATCTCCACCAGTCCTTTACCGTGTCGTATTAACACTTTTACTTAAGTAAAGGACCGTATACTACTATCATACTATCTCCACCCCTGTGGATATTTAGGTTCATGCATACATTGCAATGGATCGCATACAATGAAGGTTTCTCCGACAGTCTTTGAAAGCGGCATTCGTTCGGCCAACTTGTTGCACAGCGAGAGAAACGCCCCCTCCTCCCTCTCTCTCTCTCTCTCCCTCTCTCTCTCTCTCTCTCCCTCTCTCTCTCTCTCTGTCTATTTCAGCTGAAGCTCGGCCGCACTTCTCTCACTGCTCACTGTTAATCAGAGCATAAACATGGCCGCTCACCGGGTTATCGTGTATGGCGGAAAAGGCGCTCTGGGCTCAAAGTGTGTCCAACATTTCAAATCTAATGGATGGGTGAGCGACAACACTCAGCCCTAGATGCTAACACTGTGCTCTGCTAAATGACAAGCTAACACTGTATCTCTCTCTCTCTCTCTCTCTCTCTCTCTCTGTCTTTATGAAATGAACAGTGGGTTGCTAGCATCGACATGGCTGCAAACGACGAGGCGAACGAAAACGTGATTGTGAAGTTGAGTGAGTCTTTCCCCGAGCAGGCAGGACAGGTGAGCTACCGGGGACATAATGAGTGGACCCGGCTAACTGCTGGTTGGATGGGTCCTGTGTCGGAACTGTCAAAGTGAGAAACTAACAGACAGACAGAGAGACAGACACAGAGACAGACAGACAGACAGTAAAACCGTTACTGCCGTTAACTTAACGGCTATGAATTAATATGATGTGTTTGTTGTTTTCTTTTTTAAATTCACTCTTTAGTATTGCCTTGTGTATGGTAATGCTGCGTTCAGGTCACATCTGAAAAGAAGGGAAAAGTGGGGCGCTTGTTGCTAGGAGCGCTGATAAGAGACTTTGATTGTAACAAGTTTAATTTTCTCATTTTCAACACGACGTCGCTGGTTTAGCTTTAGTGTTGTGGCGTACATCCACATTTTATTGCAGCTAGAGGATTTTGGAGCTTTCAGAACCCGGGACAGGTCATCCAAAGAATAAAAAATGTAAAATTCAATAGTTGATGTAATTCGTATATTCTTATTGGATACAGGATAGTATGACACATTTTTCTATATGCATGTATATAGCCAGTTTACACAACTGTTGAAATTCTGTAGCATACATGGGACATACTTGTATATTTCTTTTTTTATTTCTTTTAAGAAATGACATTAATGAAGTCCTGTATCCAGCACTTGGAGGCTGATGTGAATCGTTTTTCCAAAAATCCTCCTTTGTTTGTTGACGTGAATGCAGCACATTGAACATGTAGTCAAAACCTCCAGCTGGTGTGTGAGCTGAAAGCTGCTCGACAGTTAAATGCTGTCTGCCTTGCGGCTTTATGAAAAGGTGTTGGTAGTTATCTCTTGTTTTTTTTGCAGGTGACGGCAGATGTGGCCCGGTTGCTAGGGGAACAGAAGGTGGATGCCATCTTGTGTGTGGCGGGAGGATGGGCTGGAGGAAGCTGTAGCTCCAAAGGTCAGAGTTCAGCCTGCAGTTGTTTGCTGTAACATTAATCATCAGCCATTTATGTATTGCAGCAATTCATGCTTTAATTTGTACTTTGGCTAATTAAACTGTAATAACATTTTATATTTATGTAATTTTCGGAATAAATTATGCTTTATCTTGGGAACAGTATGTGTAAAAAGAATTATGTCAACTAAAAGACTTGCTCGCTAGCTCTGTCTGTATTTTAATAATGGATTTAATTTAGCTGGAACTGTGTTAAGTGAGTTTACACAGTGGGCTCGAAATCTGGTTGTTTGAGTCAATAAAACTGCAAGTTGTTGTTCTGCCAGTTAGTTTATTGCATTTATCTCACAGCGAACATGAAAAACTACCTGCCAGCAAAAGGAAACCTCTGGTTACTAAGGACCACAATCGATATCCACTGTGCAGCTCATTAGCATCTGAGGTTGCTGGAAATCCTGTCCTTTCAAAGCCCATTCAAAGGAATAGTTTGACATTTTGAGAAACAGGTGCATTCACTCTCTCACAGAGAGTTACTGTATATGAGAAGATTAATACTATTCTCTTCTCTATACGGAAAATAAGAAGCTACCCTAAGCAGCTGATTATCTTAGCTTAGCATAAAGATGGGGAAACAGTAGGATAAAGCTAACCTGGCTCTGTCCAGAGGTAACATAATCCACCTGCCAGCGTCTCTAAAGCTCACTGATTGATCTTGATTGATGAACATCCTTCTAGTTTATTTAATCCGTTTAAAAGATACATTGTTGAAGACTATTGTGCCGGATGATGATGGTTTTTGTATGGATTAGGCAAATAAGATAAAATGTTTATTTGTGAGCTTTAGAGGTGCTGATGGGTGGATTATGTTACCTTTGGACAGAGCCAGGCTAGCTGTTTCCCTGTTTCCAGTCTTTGTGGTAATCAAAGCTAAAAGCTAACAGATGTGAGAGCGGTATCAGTCTTTCTCCTTTAACGCCAGAAAGCAAATGAGCGTATCTCCTAAAACATTAAACTATTTCTTTAAAGACCAGCATTAAATAAGGTGCTGTATCTGTCCAATATGGTTAAATTATGACATACCAGCAAACTGAAATAAGGCCTTAATAATTATTTTCTATGTCTGCCTCAGATTTATACAAAAACACAGATCTGATGTGGAAACAGAGTGTGTGGACCTCCACTATCTCCAGCCACCTCGCCTCTCTGCACCTAAAACAAGGCGGACTGTTGACTTTGGCCGGGGCCAAAGCGGCCCTGTCGGGCACTGGAGGTAAGGCACATGTTTGTGTTTACCGTTCCCATCATGATGACCTGGTTTGGCTGTGTGTCACGTCAGGGCTGCAGGCAGACTTTGATATAATGGAGACTTTATTGTGCAGATGTCTTTGTTGTCCAACCTGCCAATTCAAATGATGGAGGTAATGGAAAACGCTGCGGGGCTTTTTGACGAGGGAATTGGCACACTGATCAGAGACATGGGGGATCTCGCACAGCTCACAATCGTGTGAGGAAAAGGTGTCAATAAAATGGATCCAAGAAACAAACCAAGAGGGAAAAAAAATATAGAATAGCTGATGAGCTCTGAGGAAGCGGTGGGGTTCAGTGTTTGGACAACGACCTGTTTGTCAATGTGCAATCCCGTGCTCTGTTAGTGTCCCTGAGCAGTTGACTCAACCCTGACCTGCTGAGTTTAACCCACTCTGTACGAGGTATGTAGTTAAAATGTAACTGATTGGGATTCATTAAAGCAGAAGACAATGAACTAAAGACAACAAATAAATAAAATAGGACTTTAATATTGCTAGTAGTCTCAGGCAGAAGTAGAGATCATTTTTCTCAGAATATAGAAAGCTCTTCCACAGCCACAGGACACTTACTTACTGTACTTATGAAAAGTAAACTGATCACCATGTGTAAAACTGCCCCTTTTAACAGTAGTGCTTTTTCATTTCTGTTTTTTAATTTAAACAATAGAGCTGAAAGTCTTAGATTTGTTGACTGACAGAAAATGATTCAGCAGCTATCTTTACAGTCTGTTAATAATTTCAGTCGTTTATCCAGCGAACATATCAAACGGCTCCTCCAACAAGAGAATTTGTAGCTTTTCTTTTCTCATATATGATAGTTGACTGAATATGTTCGGGTTGCAGTTTTGGGCAAAACTAGCAATTTCAAGACTCAATCTGGGGTTCTGAGATGGTATTGTTTCTCTATTTAGTTTACATTTCTTACAAGTATTGAGAAAATAATCTGCAGATTAAGCAATAATATAAATGATCTTTTAGTTACAGCTTTATTACAGTACACTTGTGTGCATGAAAGCATGTATTAGGTAAAGATACAGAATAGCAGCCACGCGTACATGTCGGACCACCACCTGTGATGTTTGGTGTATTCACTGTATATAGTTACATAGAGTACATAAGACAGATGGTCAGTATCTTTCAGTCCAATGTATAGTCGATAATCCTGAATTACTGCTCAGCTCTGGAATCAAATGAACTGAGGCTTGCACAAGAACCCTTATCTACATATGTTTGGATAGTGTGCCGGTGATTTTCATTCTACCAATAGTTAACCATTGTTAAGTGACATGAAAGGCTTTGGTGTGGTGCCATGTGATGTCCAGTCTGCCCCTGTATCCCAGCCAGCCATGTGATGGGCTGAGATCCAACTCTACAATATAAAGCCCTGGCTCAGCAGTCAGCACAAAGCCCACAAACTCATTGGCTGCTGGCTTAGGAAGAGAATGACTCAGCAGTTGTGGCTCCACACACATTATCCATGTGGACAGATTGTGTTAACTGCACTGATACAGTTTGAAGATCCCAATATGTATTGTTCTCTTTTCACTGAGCTTATATTTATGTAGGAACCTGCACCTCCGCAGAGCTGACTGGATTTTAAACACAGTAAAGAACCGTGAAAGTTACCATCTTATTTTCCAAAAAAAAAAACATTTCTGGGTGGTCTAATTAAACGTGAGTCTATCAAGAGCCAAATGTTCGAAATATAAATGGTGAGAGATACTCGTGTTCATCCTTTCTTCTGTGTGCTTTGATCAAACAAATAGAGTAAAAAGTGTTCCGTATCAGAAACAAGGAAAGCAGATTGTGATAACTAATTGTATCGACTTTGAAGGTTGTTGTAAATGAAACATTTCACGGATGAATGCTCAGTTACATGTTGGAAAGCTTATTAGCAGATGTGGGAGATACCTGGAGGTTTCCCTTCAAAGCAGCATGTTGGCATGTAAAGTAGTGAGAATGCAAGATAATTTGGGGATTTACCAAATGTGCTGGCCCGTAAACAAAAGCATGTTTCTCTCTCTTATATCAATCACCACTGTGTGTCCCTTTTTCCTGAAATTCCAAAGCAAACTTAACATGACACACTTGTCAAACCATGTGACGGGCATTTTAATAATCCTTTTGATTTAGGGTTTAAAACAGAGGTCGAACCCCAGAAAGAGTTAGTGCAGGGGTCCCTGTGCCCTCCATGTGACTTATATTTGTTTTCATAATCCCCAGTCTGATTATCCTCTAAGATATGCCAAGGATGGCTTTCAGTGTCTGCATTCACGACAGTGTTATTCACTCTATTCAAACAACTTGAAGCTATAATTTCTGAATCAAGTCCTTTGTTTAGGCTGTCATAACGTAGCTTCTTCTGATCCAGTGTCCCATTGCAGCTTCGTCCCTGGACCTCATTGCACCAGCTGTTTGCTAGTCTAAACCTAGCCTAGTTATAGTCTAAGTATTTACTAAGCAAAGCTTTACTGAATTTAAACAGGTGGCACCACACAAACTATTTCTGATGCAGACTAGTTGTTACTAAATATGAGTGTATATAACTTCCAGGTTTAGCTGTTACATAGCTAACTGAACCAAATGACAAAGCTATTGTTAGCTGGCTTACTATATATTTTCCACTCACTTCATGACTGCTACTAAGTATGAAACACACATTTGTCCACAAATGCATATATAAATGGTCAGATATGTGTAATTTGCCTCTATTGACGCCAGTTTGACGACAGCTTGTGATGCCACAGGGACTTCCTTTTACATGGTTGATTGCTTTTGATTGGATGGTGCTACAACCAATTTATACATTATTTAAGTCATTACAAGCTAGTTTTAACGGTGCAACCCAATTTTGTAAATTGCCAATTTGAAACTAGCTGTGAAGAAGATCAGAAGGACTTAGCACACAAACCTAGTGATGCATTTACAATAGCTGTTGCAATTCAACCCTGACCTTGAATATGTTTGCAAAGTACAAAAAAGACTGCAGCCTGCATTATTGCAGCTATTTATGGCTTAGTGACCACAGCCAAGACTCCCATCTTTGTTTAACTGTTCAAAGTGAGAATAACCTTAATTAATCAGAACCCTTGCCACATTTACATGCTGTTACTCCTAAACAGCTTACAGTGAGAGCAGATTGGGTTTCAAGGACAAAGTAGATCATTAGGAAATAAAATTGTTGATGGATGCACATTGTGTTTAGCGGGGATTGAACGTGTGACCTGTTAGGTACAGGATGGACGCCAACCTGGTGGTTATGCAGCAAATTAAAAGAGCGTTTCACCGTCCTTGGAATGGCACCCCCAAGTCATGCTTCCTTTTGATTTTGCTCTTAGGGAAAAACAAAAGCTTGTGATAAAAGCCGTGTCACCACCCCTTGTTCCCATTGGTCAGGTCTTTGTAAGCCTGTCATAAGATTGGTTTAGTGGGTGGGTGGGGGTGGCATAATGTTTCCAGATGCTGAAGCTACAAAACATTCCTAGGAGTTATCCATGGCTGCGTTTTATGTAAAAATGTGTCTAACTAGAGGGAAAACAAGCAGTCATTCAGTTGGAAGTGTCTGCCAATCTAAACCTTTATACAACACAAACATATACCACAAGAAATGGGTTTCATTTTATCTGGTTACTACTTTAGTATTAAAAGTCTCAAGATGTTCCTTCCATAGATTCTCCAATGTTTTCCACTTGACCTCTCTCTAATAAATCAATTACTCACATCCACTCCTGGAAACAGTGTGTGATGCATTTGATGTGGTCTGTGTTGCCTTTGCAAACTGCACACTACACTACAAGAAATATTCTGTAATCCACAGGTATGGTAGGCTATGGCATGGCCAAGGCTGCCGTCCACCAGCTGTGTCAGAGTCTTGCAGCGAAAAACAGTGGGATGCCATCAGGAGCTGCTGCTGTGGCTATACTGCCGTGAGTACTGCTGTGAAATGGTGTGTGTGTGTGTGTGTGTGTGTGTGTGTGTGTGTGTGTGTGTGTGTGTGTGTGTGTGTGTGTGTGTGTGTGTGTGTGTGTGTGTGTGTGTGTGTGTGTGTGTGTGTGTGTGTGTGTGTGTGTGTGTGTGTGTGTGTGTGTGTGTGTACACACTAAGTCATGATGCACATTTAGTCCGAGGTGATGATTTGGATGGGGATGTAACGAGACTCAGAAAGGGGCTTTTTAAATCAATAGTCCACCAAAAGTCTCTATTGAGTGTCAGATACCCTCTGCCTGCATGCCTGAGAGGTGGAGCTACAAAGTTAGTGGCTTGCTCTTTGATGGAGGATTGCAGCTGTTGTCAGCTTATATACACAACAGTTACAATAGATGATGCAGAAAGCATTTTTGTATCAAAACATTATCTTGGAAACTTCTCACTTCCAACTCCTGCAGCATAATTCACTTATTGCTGTTGAGTATTTTATACTCAAAACAAGAGACTTTTCTTTTAAAAGGTCCAGAGAATGATTTAGAATTCTTTACAGCGAAAACAAGCAGGGCTGTGTATTGGCAAGAATCTGCTGATATGATATGTATCACGATACAGGGTGTACGATTTGATATATTGCGATACTGAAAGCAAGGCGAGGTATAGAGAACGCACCACCATATGCATGAAATCTGAGTAAAGAGTAAAGAAAAGTTTACAACACTTCTATCTAGTGTTTGGGGGTTTAAACACAAAAATCAATAGTGTTTTTAAGAATCGATACAGTGTGGAGATTTTCTTACACCCCTAAAATTAAGTCTTGCTCATTTTGCCTCCTGTTGGTAAGATGGTCTTCTCGAACCAACCTAATTTTGTCTGTGTCTCAGAAAGTGTTTTAGCTTTGCATATTGCCTGCTTCTGTGGAGACTGGAAGGAAACTGTGAGAGAATAAGTGAGCTGTAAGGATTAGTCTATTAATGGATTAGTTGATTGACAGAAAATGAATCGACAATTATTTTGATAATCAGTTTCTTGTTTCCTTCATTTTGTTATTTGATTATAGTAAAATATATATAAATAATATATATATATATATAGTGTTTGATTGTTTGTATTTTGATCACAGTAAACTGAAAATCTTTAGATTTTTGGTTGTTAAAAGGATAAAACAAGATTAATATATAATGAACATTGTTAGTTAAAGCCTTTTATTTATTGCCCTAGCAGTTATAAGTTTTGGGCCTTGGGCTGCCACTAACATGAGGAATAACTGAACAGAAGTGATCTTCACCAGATAAACTTGTCTGCTGTCGGCAAAAGCAACAAAGGGAAACTGTTAGACTTCCTTGAACTTCAATATCCTGAGATACTGTAACGTGTTGTACACAGCAGATTCATGTTTACTTGCTGCTCGTTGGATGTTATTGTTTTTTTTTCTCCTACATTTTTATTAGTTATTGTCGACAAAAAAAACTGATTCTTGCTTCAGTCTATATCCAGCAACAGAATTTTATTAACAAAAAAGGACAAATATACAGCAGGTCTCTGGATGGGATTGTCTTTTTTGTTACAGCCTCGGTTTGTGCTTTAGGTTGAATGGAGCGGTGTATATGTAACATAAATATTTTGCACAGTGCAGCTTTAAATACACCAACAATGCAAGCAGCCAGTCAATGGAGTAAAGGCGAAAGCTATTGTGCTGTAAAATTAGCTGCGCCTCATACGCCTTTGTTACGCGCGATGGATAAGTGCAAGGTGAAGATAAGCTGCAGGAATAAAGAAAAAAGATGGCTGAGGCTGCCAGTCTCACCCTGTAGATCTCTGGTTGTGCACATGATCGGTTTTAGATGAATGACGCACACAGTAACCTTTGCATGATCGCCTCCTCTGTTTGCTTATTGAATTTTAAACCCAGTGTTTTTTGCGTTGTCATCGTGAGAAGCTAGAAATGGCTTTTCAGGGGTGTATCTTGCTGCTGCTCTCTGTTTGGTTGTATTTTCCGCCAACATGAGGCTGGACTGAGCCTGCCTCTCCAGCATGCTGTCACATCTGTTCAGCATTAGCCCCATGACTTGCATTTCTGTTACAGCCTGCGTCCCCCAACCCCCCTGTCCGGCTGTACCATCCTATACCAACACTATCTGTACTTGTATTTGTGGAAATTAAATCATAATGCAGATTGTTTACACAATCCAAGACCGTGAAACAGTTTAACGTTTTGGATTTTAGAGTTGAAATGGAAAGTGTTTTTTAGCATATGCAGTAAGAAAATAAGCAATTATACTATTGACCTTCTTTACACTCTCTACAGTTAAGTACTACTATATAAAAACTTGGTTCTTGTACTTAAATGTATGTATATAGCTTATATGCCCTGATGACTCCCCCAAAACACTAGAGCACACCTCAGGTCAGGATGTTTTGTTGTTTTACACGGGGACATTGCATGTTAATATTAGCATGGCTGTACTAAAGGTGACAGAACAAACCGTGCTGTGTTGAATTGCTAAGTGATAATATGTTAATAAAACAGAAACATAATGCAAATGATTTGTATACCCAGCGCTCTCTCTGTGGTGTGTATGTGTGCAGGCTCCAAGCTCTCTCCTTTCTCTCTCCGCCACTCAGGCGCTGCTACTCACCCTGATTGTCATCTGGCTTAATTTAACAGGGTTACCTTGGATACGCCAATGAACAGGAAGTTCATGCCTGACGCAGATTTCAGTTCCTGGACACCGCTGGAGTACATCGCAGAGTGAGTGCTGAGCCGAATAGTGCTTCTTCTCTGTTATTTACAGAGCTCTGTAAACGTGATTATATTTTAGAATGGGATGCTCACCTACCTTACATTACACTCACTCCTGACCTGCCATTTAGGTTCAATGTAATGCCGATATAATGTCACCAGTGGTTTCTGTTTAGTGTATGAGCTTAAATATCCCAATATAAACATATACACATCAAGTGCAAACCATATTCCAAATGTTCCCGCATTGTTAGGCGAGTATGCAACGTGCTGAAGACTGTGTCGTCTCTGCCCAGAAGCGGTGAAATAAGATCAATTGAGTTACGCTCAAGTGAGTCTGAGGATATAATAGTATGTGTCTTTCATTGACTGTGCTGTTGCTGCACAAGCACAAGCATTGTTCAGGGTGTGTTCGACTCCATTTTCTACACGTCTCTGATAATAAGTGGCCTCCTACTAACACTGAAACATGTTCTCTTGTGTCTGATTTACATGCTGTTCTCCTGTTTCTCTAATTGTTCAGTGTTGATCCAAAGAGGTCTTTGATTCTGAAGGGAGTGACACCTAAAACATCACATTTATCTTTCTGTGCTGTAGATCACAGAAACATTTTCTGCTATCAAACAACATCAAAGTTACTAGATTGTTGTGCCCAAGAAGAATAAGAATACGCTGACAAACTACGAGTGAGCATGGAATACAAAGTACATTGCCAATAGCAGTAATCTTAAGTTCTGTAGAGTAGTTTCTCCTTTTAAAATAACACATGGCATTCAGTTGTATTACACTGAATTACAGTAATAAAGCTGGTTCAAGTGATTCAGGTACTGTATCATGTCAAATATATTATTAAAGAAAGAGAGCGCGAATACAGAATTCCCACACATCCTGGAAAGCCTGGAAATTTAGAGACTTTTGTAGTTTTCTTCTAATGGAAACACCTGGACATTGATTAAAATAACCAAATATCCTAGAAATGATCCATATTGTCCTGGAAATGTTTTATTGTATTTTAGCCCCTCGCTCAGATCACCTATGTAAAACCTGGGTTAGAGGGAAAACTGTAGGAAACTGTAGTCAAATCACCGGAGAGGCTGCAGAAAAATTGTCTGTGGTGAGAGCAGTGGAAAGTGAGCTAACGTGTCCCATAAATGCTGAGCACCTGTAATGAACCTGGACCACTCATTGCGAAAAAAGGAGGAATAAAACTGGAAAACGTGTCAATACTAGGCTTGCCAGTAAATTATATGACCGTTGTGAGCGACTGCTTTCCGGTATTGTCAAGAAAACTCCCGGAAAATGTCCTGAAAAAGTCTGGAAAATGATTTCTTAAAAAGAGTAGGAACCCTGGAATATAATCAAAGTGTGTTTCACCACAAGATGGCAAAGTAGATCTACACTGTCAGTGCAGTGTGATTGATGGCACAGGTGTGTTTTTGTTTTTCATCACTGTAGCTCATCCGTTTGTCTGTCTTTCTAGTGTATTATTGATGACATGCATCACATAAAATATTTAGTTGTTTATCATTAAACACAGTTTACTTGATAATGTAGTTGGTTGACATGTTAACTAGCTACGGTGACTAAATGAGGATTTATTTGTTACACTCAAATCTAAGATAAGATGTTCCTTTATTGATCCCCTGTGGGAGAAATTCAAGTTTGACACAGCAGCAGGGGGGAAATGGAGAGCAAACAGTACAATAAAGAATAATAAAATAAAAATATTATAAAGATATAATAGAAAATATCAAGACTATAATGGAAATATATACACAATATGCAGTATATCTATCTATAATCTAGTGCAAACTACAAATAATGTATAATAAGTAGAGTACAAAAAATATGTTTGGATCTTTTCAACAGTTGCCAGGGTTAAGGCAATTTGATATGACTGAGTTGCACTTCATTAAATATTCACATTCACATGAGAGTGAATTTGAGAGTACTAAGCCCCATTTGCATTTACCCCGTGTGTAGACCAGGGTAGATTAGATGAGATTTGATCCAGTTTGATAATCCCAGAGGAAACAGATGAGGGTCTGAGGATGGAAATAGAAATAATCTAGGTGGCGGGAAATTAAGGGAGATGGCACTTACTGCCTCATTGTCTCTTTTACTACCTTCTTCTGTACTTCTCAAATTAAAAACTTGTTAGTTGAAGATCCTATTTCTAGTACACGTTATCATTATCAAAATGGGTTGTCATTATTCAAAATCCAAAAACTATGGAAGCCCGAGGCTGTTGGTGTGCAAATAAACGGATACTGTATATTTTAAAATTAATTTATTGGTATTTATTTTGAGTCTACATAGGCCATTGAAATTATAGCCTATCTACACTCAATGTTTAGGAATTTATGGGGGAAAAAATAACAAAATATAGGAAACAAAAATATATTTTGAATATACCTTACAAATATAGGAGAAATAGGTGACACTGCATGTACGGGTGGGACGATATACGATATCACGTATCGCAATCAAAAAGCACTCCGATAAATATCCCATGGTGAACTTCCTTTATTGTGATAATCGTGAATCAGGATAAACGTGAATATCCTCACATGGCTTGATTGAAAAGAGCTGTCTAGCTCGCCAGCATGCGCTATATTGATTTCCTGATTTATTTTGAACAAGGGGACAAGAGGGAGCCCACATCTTTCCAATGATTCCTAAACCCTAAGACTGTCACCATGGTTAAAAGGCTCTGCTTACCCATTATATCCCCCACAAAAACCATTAAACTGGATGTGCGGAGATGGTATCGATTCCAAAATAAAGAAGAGGGAGATGAGGTACCTATCCGTGGTGCAAGAAATATGTGTTTCTTAACAAAATGTAGGTAAAGTGGTAAAGTGTGACATGAAATATTCATATCGTCCCATGCCTAACTACACGTTATGTATTGGAATTGCATGGACTATTGTAGAAAGTCAGTCTGATGGTCTTTAATAGACATATATGGACCCCCCAAGTGATATAAGGTATTGTAATACTACAAAATCGACATGCCTATCAACAGATGAACACGTCTGGGTTTTGACCACTTCCGTTTCTCTGTTTTCCTCCAGAATGTTCTTCAAGTGGGCCGCAGGAGAGAACCGGCCCGCTTCAGGAAGCCTGATGCAGCTACTGACCTCCGGAGGTGAAACCCAGGCTGTCCCAGCGCAGTAGAGGACAGAGTGAAGCTGTGGAGATGGTGACAGGGGGTTGGAAGGGGGAGAGCAAGATGGATGGAAGCAGAGAGATATAGAGTGGTAGAGAGAGGGGGAGGAGGATATGGGAAAAGAGAGTTAGAGAAATAGGAGGAGTGATGAAGAGGGTTGGAGGGCGTGGAGGTGAAGAAGAAAGATGGTGACAGAGAGAAACTGAATAAAATGAGAAGCTGGAGAGGAGACGGCTAGATGGGTTTGTTTTGGAGGGGCGGGGGGCTTTCATTGCTACTGCAGCCTCACACCGCCATCTAGCTGTAAAGCCCTACAATTGTCTCACAGTCAAAATCACTTGCTGGTTTTGAATCCCCCTTCAGGGTGCATTCATCACTCTTGGGGAACAATTTTGAGCACTTCTCCAAAATATTCTTTCTTCAGTGAAGTTAAATGAGAAACATTTAATATCAAAATGTGAAAGTCTCTCTTGTTTTGGTCAGACTACATGAAAGCAGTCGCTGATTAAGATGCATAGAATTTATTATCGCATAACATTGTAATTCTGTATCATAGCAGTATAATTTCAATACTTAGATGTATGAAATTGCTCTTCACTTTTCCCCTAGAGTTTCTGTGTTTCACCATATTTTCCTTCTATAGAGACCCCCTGTTCTCCAAAATGACTATCAGCCACTTCCTAGCTACACTAGCTACAGCCATTCTCTTAAACATCTGTGAAATTCAACTCACAACAGTGTCAGTCCAGTGTGACATCTGTAGACCTTTTTTAGTTTGTACTGTCTATAGTTCCTGTAGGTCTTCTGCCACTGCGGGACCCTGAAGTCAAAGAAAGCCGCTGTTTTCTCTCAAACGGACAATACAGTCTAAGGTAGAGTGGCCTTATTTTATGTTTGTAACTTTAACGTCAAAGTGTCCTTGGTGTCCGCGGTGTGAAGAAGGTGCTCTGTTCCTGTCGTGGGTTTTCTAAGTCATGTATTGTAACTGTGTCAAATTCACAATAAAAAAAAAAATCCAAATAAAGGATCAGTGTTGAGGTTCAGAGTTCATTCTTGACCCTGGAAAAAGCAGTTGACAAAAGAATCTCACCTCAAGGTCCGTTAAGTAGCTGCTGTAGTGCTTTCAGTTAGCAGTCACTCCATCTTTACTATAAAGCGCACTATTATTATTTTTTTCATTTTGCTGCCAATGCGTCACACTTTCATACACAGCCATGGTCTTCGTGCAGTGTTTTCTCACTTGTTGTGGACTTTAATGTTCAAATTGCTTTTTTGTTTGTTTGTTTTTTTGTCTGTGTTGGATTTAAAAGTGAAGTTCAAAATGTATTATTCACCTTGGGAACAGCAGTTGAAAAAAAAAAAAGTTACTTAAAAAAAGTCTGAAAATATATATTAGTTAACTGAAATAAAAATAAAACTACAATAGACTAGAAAAAAATCTAAATGAACTGAAACAATGTTTTGTACTTTTAAAAACTACAATAAAAAAGAAATGCGTAAACCCACTCTGGAAACTAAACTATACAAAAATAAAAATCGAAGAAAGAATCAAGAACTGTTAGGATATGGATTTGTTTTGTTTAAATTATGTATAGTTGTAAAGCCAATACTGCATCACACAATCCACTTTACAGTCACATATAATTTTTTTGAATTAAAAAGATACTAATCAGAATAAAATGTCCAAATGTATCTGTGAGTCTTAGACATTAGAAAATCTCAGAATTGAAAGAATAAGGCTGGTGATATTCTATATTTTAAGACCAAAACCAACAATGTTCAGTTCCTGTATGGCTCTCAGTCCCAAGCCCATTTTTAGTTTTTTTTTTTAAAACTACATAATTTCCTTAAACTGTTTTTTTTTATTATTTTTTTTTTTTTTAGCAAATGTCACTCAGGACAAAGGTAAATAATGTGTTTATTGGGGACTATTTTTAGCTGCGGAATAATACACATTTGACTGGCCATTGACCAGCAGCAGCAAAAAGCTATGTCAAGTTTTGGCGACACAGAAAATATAGTACTTGTTAAAAGGATCTGTTCATTGCTGGTTTTAGTATTTTAATGCTGACAATGAAATATATTGAATATCACCAGCCCCATCCTTTAAACAGCTCTTTAAACAACCACTAGATGGTGCTCTCTAATAAGAGTCCCACTGCTGCACTGCCAGTCTGTGTGGTTTTTTTTAGTGGAGGTCATATTAATGTGAATATGCACTGCCATGCATAGACTGCACATAAAAATAACTTACAGAAAGGTCCTTTAGCATTCACTCTCCTGCACTGAACTGATTGCTGAGCATCCAGGCCTTTCACCTTGGCAAATGCAAATCTCTACAGCGGCGACATCTGGTAAGACATCAATTTAAAAGTTGGATTATGACGAATAGATTATTTTACAGCCCCATTCCTCTCTGCACAAAATGTTGTTGTTGTTCAACCAACCCATATATTCACCTTCAGCGTGGACCAGAATGCACATAAATAGACTACGGGGCAGCTGCTGGGCCTTGGTCTTAAACTCCACTATTTCTCTCTGCTGGCCACAGTTCCTGGGGACTATATGGCTGTTGACAAGCACACTGCAATAAATCACCATGCTGAGGATTAATAGGAAAGAGCAAAGCGCCCCAGCTCACTGTAGCTGATATGTATTTATTCTAGGTGGCGTAGCAATTCATCTCACTGCGCGTATGCCCATGTGTGTGTGAGGGCCTGAGGCGAATTCAACACGTCTGTGCATACATTACCTCCCACGATGCCAGCACTATAGAGTGATTGCCCATGGGGATCGAGTCAATGTTTATCACAGAAAGCGTTTCAGCTGATCAAAGATTACCGCTGAGACAGAGCATGTTGTTCCTGTTTCAGCTGGGGCAGATAAGTTGTCACCCAGCGACACAGATGCCATTGTTTTGTGCAATGTGAATCTGTGGGAAGCAAATTATTCGTATGTCACAGGTGCAGCGGCGTGCTAAAGAGAATTTATTTGTGGTACTCTTCTTTCAAGCTGCAGTAGCACGTTTTTCACATCTCTTGATGGTGAGTATGTAAATACAGGATGACTGATCTAAGATTGCTGTTTGTCTATTCACTCTGGCGAACAAGGAATAGAGTCACATAAGGTCAACAGAACCATTTAGGGACATAAATAAATGGGACTGTAACTACATATTGCTGGTATATAGATATGAGATGGTACTGAAAACTCAGTTGAAAGACCTTTGAGTTTAGGTTTAGGTTCAAGGGTTAGATTATGGTTATGTTTTTTTTTGTTATGTCTCTACTAAAAACACACTCATAAAGGCATACAATACCCAAACTTACCTTTTAAAAATTCCAACTTTTCAAAGACCATCAATGTGGCGAAGCAACAATCTTGTAAATCCAGTATTACCATAAAAAAAAGTCCTGCTCAAGGATTTGCATTATTTCCAGCAACCAAAGATATTTAGGGAGAAGCTGCCTGGATAGAAATAGTACAGCACCATTTCTCATGGTTTATATATATATATATATATATGTAGTATACCTGCCGCTCCAGATATAGACAACACCTCAGCGTTACAATCTATGATGTTTCATTATGTTTCTACTTTGTGTCTTTTTCCTTCCAAACTGGCTGCATCACAACAGCTAACTTAAAAGTGATTAATGTTAAATGATAAAGCTTTCTTTTTCTTTTTTTCTTTTTTGACTAAACACATACTAAGTACATAGAACCTACAGTATATTTAAGTATCCTGTTCCTCACCTCAGTCAGATGATCATCTTTTACCTGATCAAAGGTCAACAGTTCTCTTGTGTATTAATACATTTATGATTTATGATTCCTTTTTGAATGTGACGCTCTTGGATAAGAATCCATCCATCCATTTAACCATCCTGGTTAAATAAAGGTCAGATCGATGAAAAAATTAGATTTATGATCCAATGTAATGAGTTGATCCAAAGCAAGCATAGTTTGGTATACACCCTCCCTTCAGTTCTGAAGTTTACTGTCTGACTGTGTTGTGCTGTATATTGTATTATAATGAGGGAAACTGGCTCCTAGTCTTTCCTTTTTCCCATTTTTAATTAAGCCTGTCACAAATGTCTCTAATGTTTGAAAGTCACTGTACACACATAATATAACAAAGGAGCTGCGTTTCTGTTCAGTTGCCTGAAAACAGGTGGAGTTGTCTGAATTTGCCTCTAATGGCGCAATGGCTTTGCAATGGCTTTGCAATGGCTTTGCAATGGCTTTGTCGATACGTCTAGACCTGGGTAGTTAGAACATTAGCAGTGACAGCTAGCATATTTGACCACACAAGAAAGGAGTGCCATTGTACAGAAGTTCTACTTTATCAACACAAAAATCCAAATAAAATGACATCACTGTTCAGACTAATGAAAAGTGCTGTAAAAACAAAGGGTTGCGCTTGGCTTCAGAGATATCTATTTTCGGTTACTACCGGTTACATATGCAGGCACCATGACCTACAGTGGCGTTATATTAATCATTTTAACATGGTTGTGGTGTATTCTGTATGAAATAAGGGGCTTATTCAAGGTAAAACCAGCTCAGCCCTCTCTACTGGTCCATTTATGTTTCTTTAATCTAGATTCAATAAAGGCTGCTTCTAAATAAAAATATTAAACTGTTTGTGCCAACTCCACGCCACTATTTGTGTTGATCCCGCGTAATTAGTGATGGCAGTTTTCATCTCAGACACTGTTGGCTTTTCCACGTGCTGCATATAAAACCATATAATAGATTACATTGCACACAGAGAACCTGTGATAGCATTAGTTTTATTGACAGTGCATTGAGGCTTTCAAGCACAGGCTGTCTCAGTGATTCATTGTGTGAAGCAGGGAGAAGAGCAGCGTCCAGTCCTGCTTACATGAAACCCCTGGAGGTGAATTTCCTGATTAAAGCCCCTCAACCCCCCACCCCCACCCAGCTTACCCGCCCGCCTGAAACCCCTCCAGTTGTGTGAGCGGATGTGTGTGTGCGTGTGTGCGAGCATGTTGTGTGTGCATGCAGCTTTGTTGTGTTGAGCGTGCATATGTACATTGTGTGTGTGCATGTGTTGGGGGGTGCATACTTGCTTGTATGCAATGTGGATGTATGTTTTTTATGTATTTACGAAGCCAAAAAAACGTATATCTTAATTTTTGACTTGTTTTTAAGCTTTATCTTGATCTTACAACTTTAGATTTTGTCATTTCTAGACATTTATGTACACAAATGTCTTCTCTGTCTTGTTTATTTTTTCTTTTTCTGTCCCGTCTGTAAAGCAACCTGTAACTGCAGTTTTAAAAAGTGATACAACATACATGAACAATAAAGGTTATGTGCAGATAGACATGTGTGCATTTGTGAGTAGTATGTGTATGTGCCTGAGCTGGCATAGGTGTATTTGTGTGTACCTTGAGTGTGCATCAGTTTTATGAATGTATCTCTGTGTGTTTGTGTGTTGTAGAGGTTATGTCTGAGATGGCGGGGCGCCATGTGGAAGCCATTGAGAGCTGGAGCAGCAGTGAACATGGAAGGTGAGGCCAGATGGTAGTGGTTAGCCCTTGGCTGCTCTGGGTAACCTGACCTGCAGGGGAGGACCCCTCTGCCTCCCGAGGACCAGCCGCCACATGTGTTGCGTGAGAGTAAGTCACCCAAAACCCAGGAACCGCCTCTCGACTTCCTGACTGCCTGTGCTCATAGCTGAGGCTGTTTTTTTAAGCGAGGATCTAAAACAACAAACTAGAAATGGGATCAGACAGGAACAGTTCAGAGACAGGATCATGGAGGATCCTGAGGTCGGATGAAGGTGTTATTAAGAGTCTGATTCATGTGTGTATCCTGCGTTAGCTCTTTATACAGTGGTCAGCACATTCACTGGACTGCTTCAGTTTTCTGTTACTTACTTACTTACTTACTACATGCTTCTGCTGTACAAGATTTACTTCACGACACTGATCTGGCATCTTTGGCAGTTTAAGATCTTTTAAACATGTTCAGCCTAGAAAATATTACTCTTTGCTATAGATGAAAC